TTTTGCTTTCGGTGAACAGTAGATCAAATATCAGTTTCTCATGTGATTTAATGATGTTATATTACAATTAAATATTTTAAAAACTCTCTTCATTCCATAATAATCTTAATCCATAATGTTTTCTAACTCCATCTATTACATACAAAATCATAAATTAAAGAATAATGCATTTTTGTTTCAATAATTGAAATGTCCAAAAGAGTTTCATTAGTACAAATTTATTGTTCCTTATATCAATAAAAGAAATAGCACCTGGCAATAAATTACAAAAATATATTTATTATTTATGTTTGTTTATGATTCATGATTTAAAAGTTGATATTGATTCAAAATAATAAACTAACTAATAACATAACTCAACAACCTTAGTCACATACAAATTATTAGCAAACTTATTTTCTATTTCCTGCAAATTCGGCTGTTTAACAAGATAATAAATGTCGTTTCGAGTCCAGGCTTGTATAATCGAAACAGGCTTGTATAAATTTACGATTAAGTTTCGCGCAAACGTCCTTCACCCAAAACACATTTAAATATTTAAGAGAACCTCAACATTATAAACACGTTTAAATCTGTGTAAGCCAATACAAGGTGAAGAATCTAATATAAATTTCTGAATTCGAATGAAAAGGTTAAATCTCTCTTTAAAATGTGTTAACTATTAATATACACACTTGTAATCTTCTAACTGCTTGTGAAGCCTATTCATCATATGAATCAGAATGGCTTGCTATGTACAGTGATATTCAATTTTATCTATCAATCCTGACTGATGCTATATTCTCTGAAAAATATTCATTTCCGATTCCCTCTATATTCTGACTGATGCTACTGAAATTAGAGATAAAAAATGGAAGAGAAAAAACAAGAGAAAAGATTGGTAATCTGGTCACAAAGAATGCAAGGAGGATATGTAGACTTCTCTGGAGGAGTGATAATCTCTAGGCAGCGGGTGTGAAAGTAGTGGCCGCATGGCAAAACTGCAACAGATGGAGGATACCTGGCTGGGAAATGGGGCCATCGGCTTCTGGTGTGAATGAAAGATCCCTCTTGCAAAAGAAACACTCTCTCCACTTGGTGAGGAGGTTTGTCAAAATCTGCATAGAGAAGTGTAACTGCAGTATTGCGATTCTAATGATGAGCGTCAATCATCCTTAAAATACAAACATTAGAGGCACACTGAGGTATTAGGTTTAGCTGGATTTTCTGCAACAACAAAGCGTTTACTGTCTATTATCAAAATCCACATGGATGGGAAATTGGCTGTGGCAAACTTAAATAAGCATTTGAGGTCCAGCTGAGCTTGGAGATGGATTAACCATGTTACATAAGCCAAAACAGATCTTCTATTGCCATGCGAGTTCTCAATAATGTACAGTGGGTATATTAGAAGGGTATCATTGCTTAAAATTTTAAATGTTCAATTATCTGAAAAGTATATGGGTATATTAGAAGGGTACCATTGCTTAAAATTGAAGAAATGTTGTATATGGAAGGAAGCACACTTACAAAACTCAAGGAAGTCAACAACAAAAATAGATCTTAGAATCCTGAAAAAAATACCTTGTTTATGTGATCGGTTGGAAAATCCTTAGTCACTTGTGCAAGAGCATGCAGGTCTGACAAATCAGTCTGGGACTGTGGTCTACGAGATGGGTCAATTGGACGGGTTTTGTATGCAGATCTATTAGAAGATGGCCGAACTGGCGGGTTTCATATGAGATCTATAGAAGATGGTCGAAATTGACAGGCTTGGTTTGTAAATCTATTAGCAGATGGTCGAACTGGAGCATTGGAAGACTGAGCAGGTCCACAATTGGAATTACTAGACCTGCGATTGTAAAGCTTAAAAAATATGATTCAGAACAGTAATGTGAACTAAATTTATATGTGATATGGAGCTAAATGTTAATTACCAAAGGTTAAGCAGGTGAAGTCAGTCTACTGGCAGCTGAATAGGATCAGTGGTTTGAAATTGACCAAAGTTACCTCGAGCATCAGCAAAAAATACTACAAATGTACCTATAAAAAAAGGATGACCTGCGCAGATTTAGAGCCCTGATTCAACCTGGATTAAAGTCGTTATAATTGGTAATAGTCCAATTCAACCAATTTATTCATGTTTATTATAATGGACTGAAAATGCACAGCAATCCTAAAAAGGCCGAAGAGGTCGAGTAAAATATTAATCAGGTATACATTTCTCAGAGGGTACCTTGACTTAAAACTTTATACAGAGGAAAGGAGCTTTTTAAAAAAGATTCGAGAAGAAGACATACCTTGCACCACATGACAAGGTATAAATTCCTTGGCCAAGGGTGAAAGAGGATGAACAGTCCGAGCCGCAGAAGTCTGGGATACGGGATAGAAAATCTGTGTTTTGGGTGGGAAAGGAGCTATCTGGACCGGTGGTGCGGGAGAGGGAGCAGCTTGAATGATTTTTGAAATAGAAGAATCAGTCTGTGGTTTTGTTGTATGCTGAATTGGGTGAGCGACTAGATAGGGTAAGAATGGCAGATACAGCTGATAAGATAGAGCTGTAAGAATTTTGATTAGCCGGAACTTGTTGCCCTACAACACAATCAAATAATGTTATTCAGAAAGGAACCAATGACCACCAAAAAAGGTAGTTAGATAGTTAGTTTATCATACTTTAGTCATGGACCAAAGAAAAATTGACCTGGCAAGATCCAGTACCATTTTGCCAAAAAGAGTCGGATGTCGTAAGAATATGGCAGATACAGCTGATAGGATAGAGCTGTGAGAATGGAGGAATGCCTTACCAGCCAGTTGAAGGGTATTCTCAGGGGAAACATGTGATTTTGAACACCAATATTTTGATTAGCCGAAAATTGTTGCCCTGTAGCTATAATAAAATAATGTTACTTCAGAAAGGAAGAAGTGAATACAATATATTAAGTCATCAAGAATTGAAACATTATTGAGAGATATGTTTAACAAAATTATACACAGAAAAAAGAAAAAAAAATAAACATTTTAAGCTCATAGAGTATACTTCAGTGATTCTTACCATGAAGAGTTGAGTTCAACCATGAAATTGTGGTAATTGACATGAAACTTCAAATCCAACCGCACTTAAAAAGCTACCGAGTCTTACACAGTAAGTATTAAGATTTTTTTGGGCAGTCCAAGCTCTCTCACAAGCATAAATGACATAATGAAACTTCTTTCAAATTTCCTTTCTAAATGTCCAATTCCTGTAACTAAATATTTTCTAATCTCTAGTCAGCACTAACCAGCCTCAGAAACTCGTTTTTGCAACCGCACAGAAGTTTGACATTTACAACTTGCAAGAGTTTTCACAGCCCCCCATAAAAAAGGCCTTTCAATCCAAGCATCCCCGTAAAGAATGTATGATGTCACTGTGCTAACATTTAACTAGCTCATGGTAATGAACTATTGACATAACATCTTCATTTCTTAGTGTGGGAAGAAGAAGTCGGTATCTCATCCCCATGTGTGTTCCTACTTTCCATTATGTATAACCTAAAGGCAAAAAGAGTCCACTCAAAATCATTGTTTCTACCATAGAACAGATTTCTAAGAAGTAAATTCTATCAAACAACGAAACCAAGAAACAGAGAATGAATTGATGCATCAAATTCAAAAATTACTAAAGAATAAAGGAAGCATGATCAACAACAATGGTAATCAAATAAATTCTAACCACACAAAAGTGAACAAGAAATTCAGTTAACAAAAACATTTCTCAGAACCCATTTCATCATCTAAGGGGGGAGAGTCAAATTCTTCCAAACACATTAACCACAATCCAGAATACTATTTCATTTCATCATTTTCTTTTTAATCACTATGAAGTAACAAAAAGAAATGAATCCCAGTTTAAAAAAGATTCAAAAGGGTTGAGAATCTTGGTACAAGAATGTGATTGAAACAGCTCAATTTTGAAAGATTTAAAGATAAATAAATATAAAAGAGTGATAATTAAATTGAAATAAAAAGAAAAAGAAGAGCTTCTCCAGAAACAATGAAGAAACAAACACAGATGAAATTGAAGGTTAAAGGACTCTAATCTCACCACCACTCTTCTGAAGAGAAACTACCACTGAAATTGAATTATGAAACCAATATTTTATGATACTCTTATAATTTTTTATGAGTTTAATTAAAGTATAAAAATCTTCCATTTAATATGTGCATTTAAAGCATACAAATTAATATAATCTAAAAAATGAATAAAGGAATTTAAAGTATTTTAAACTTAGACTATAAAAGAAGTAAAAACATTTTGAAATATGGCAACAAATAGCATAATACTGTGAATGTAGGGCAGGGCAGGGAATTTAATTACCTTTATTCCACAGCTTCAATTATAATATTTGATGTAAGGCTGTACTGTAGGGCCTTTTTTGCATTGGGATTGTCCCACTACAATGAATTCCACCATTTTTCTTCTCCCTTGATTTCTTTAATTGCAGGCAGGGGAAGAGACAGGAAGCCTCTTCCGTTCTGGCACTGCCATAATTAATTGAATATAATTATTCTAATTAAAAGCATTAATTGTAAAGAATATAAAAGAAGTAAAAACATTTTAAAATATAAAAGAAGCAACAAATAATATTACTCATAGGAAAACAAATTATTTAATATTAAATAAATGAGCAATAAATAATTTGTTATTAAACTCTTGCTAAGTGGCGTCAAAATTTAATCAACGCAGCTTGATTATCAACGGAATGAATTTAATTACCTTTGTTCTATAGCTTCAATAAAAAATATATTTGATGTAAGGCTGTAGGGCGTTTTTTGCATTGGGATTGTCCCACTCCAATGAATCCCACCATTCTTCTTCTCCCTTGATTTCTTGAATTGCAGGCAGGGGAAGAGCTAGAGGGAGCCTCTTCAGTTTTGGGCAAACGAGTACTTCAATTTGTTTGAGAGAATCACAAACCATTACTCCATTACTACTACATATCCTCTTCAATTCAAAAAGATAACACAATCTCAATATTTTCAATTTAGGAAGAGTTAAGTGTGGTATTACTCCTTCCATCTTCCTCACTTTTTTCTTCACCAACATCTAATCTTATTATCTCCTCAATTTCATTACAACTAGAAACTTCAATCACTTCCAGGTTTGGCAAGGCCCGCAACAACTTAGCTGACAACAACTCCTTTAAATTTTTACAATAACGTACATGGACAGCTTTAAGATCTGAATAATCTCCTTCGTTAGACAGAACATCACTTAAGCTTGTTACAGTATTGCAGTAATTCAGAGTCAGACACTGTAAATCTTTTGGGGGCGCAACAAAGTTAACATTAAACTCCACAAATCTACCAACTTCTTTGATAGGGGGCCAAAATAAATAACACGAATACAACTGGTCCTGTATTATTTTAATTTCTGATGATGGTAATCCTACTGTAAGACTGTATTTTCTAGACCTCCACTTCCTAAAGATTTGACATATATCTTAAAGTCTTCTATTTTTCTAAAGCACGCTTCTAAAATATCTAATTCACTCAATTTTGATGCCTCCTCAACCATTTCTTCTGAAGTTTTGGATCCCCAATACACTCTCAATTTTTGGACACAATTTAGTTTAGATAGCATCCCAGCTGGTAACTTTTCTAGATACACTGAAAAAAGATTAAGGTATCTAAGCTTTTGCAGCATCTCCATACCTTCAGAGACTTCTGTTATTTGAGTTCCCTCAAGGTCCAAATTCCGAAGACACGACAGTTTTGCTAAACAAGGAACATGCTTTATATGCTCGCAATATTGAAGTAACAATGCTGTAAGATTCGTCAAGTGAGAGATAGAATCTGGCAACTTCTCGATTATGGTGTACGAAAGATTGAGAATATTCAACCCTTGCATCCTTATAAAAAAAGATTCAGAAATATTTAAAAAAAAAAACATTTTCTTGTAAAAGCAAAGTTGAAAGAGCTTGACAATCTGGTGACATATTTGGAGGAATTTCTAATATGTTATTCCTCATTAATGAAGCCTTTTCAAGATTTTCTTTCCATTCTTGTTCCCTTGGGAATTCTTGCAATTTCTCTCCAGCTTTTACCATGAATAAAGGACTCATGCTTGTAATGTCCAATGCCATTTCTCTTATAAGATCATGCATCTTCACACATCTTCCATCATCAATAGTCTCTAACAAGCAGTTGTTTACAAGTCTATTCAATATAGAATAAGCCCCATCATATGTTGCTTGCAAACTAGCTCTTTCATCTACTAGTCCTTCTGCAATCCAATACACTATTAGCTCCTCTTTCGGGATTTTGAAGTATTTGGGATATAGTGCACAATAAAAGAAACAATGTTGCACATTTTTACTCTTCAAGCAATCATAACTGAACTGTAATTGCCCCAGTACATTTGTTTCCATGCCTTTGACACTTTGTATGCTTTTAGACAATTCTTCGAGTGCATTCCTCCATTCACAAATGTCATATTCTCTCCTCATGCAACAAGCTACTGTGACAATTGCAAGGGGTAAACGAGCACATTGTTCGACCACAAGTTTCACAATGTCTTTTAAAGCTGGAACTCCAAAAATATTAACTTCCACTTTATCAATGAATAACGTCAATGCCTCATCATCTGAGAGACACCTCATTTTGACTATTTTATAACCCATGGAACGACATACATCTTGTGAACAAGTTGTTATCACTAATTTGCATCCACTATCTTTTGTAGGTTTAGGAATTCCCACTTCCTCAAGCATAAATGCTTCCTATATATCATCTAATAACAAGACAATATTTCTTCCTTCCAACATTTTAATAAGTTTCCAGCCCGTATCCTTTTATCTTCATTTCTGGGAAGATCTTCTTTCAATGCAGCTGCAATTTGATCTTGCAATTTCATAAGATCAAGAGGTTGAGATACAGTTACCCAAATCACCTTCTCGAACTTATTCATCTCCTTGAGGAGTTTGTTATTGATATGAGTTATTATAGTTGTTTTACCGGTTCCCCCCATCCCGCAAACTCCTATCTTCATCACCTTATCACCCATTAAAAGTTCCCAAATTTCATTCATGTTTTTCTTGGCCGTTGTTTCACCTACTAATGTTGTTGTTGGTAGTACCAATCCAGCAGTTTGAGGTGCATCAATAACCAAACTCTCAAATGCACCATTCTAGTGATGGTCTTTCACTTCTTTAATTTTCTCGTCAACAAGCTTTCCTAAATGTCCACGTGAGAAGTATTCCACCTTATTAACTTGTCTCTCAATATCTTCTGCTTCCTCATTGATCCTCTTAGTATTTTGCAACCAATTATTGACTTCAGCTTTAGGTAATTTCCCCATATTACACTCCATGCTCAACCTTAGTTCAACATCTTCCTTTCGACTATTTAACTCTCCCAATCTTCTTTTCAGAATTTTCATATTCCCATGAAGCTTCGTAAAATATTGAACATATTTGCATAACGGCGGCCCTATGCATTTTAGAAGTTCAATGATTGGCCCTATAATAGCCTCCATTAGTTTGGTCCCTGTACACAAATAGTTAGGGTTGCCTTAATGTTTTTGTTTGAAGTTTCCATTTTCTACAAGAAATTATAATGGATTGAACTAAACCAGCAATATTTAAATTTATGGTAGGTTTCAATATCTTAATTGCATCAAATTTCAAAAAATAATTAATATAGAATTTAAATATGTATTAATCTTCGTATAAAATTATTTGGAATATGAGCATGAAGGAATAATTTTATTGCTATAAGTTGTTTGTTGGCTAAAACTCTAGATAACCCAAGTTTAATAAAAATCAATCATACATACTTCAAGGTAATTTAAAATGCAAGATGCATGATTGTGTAATACAATGCTTAACCATTTATTGTAAAGGGAAATTCAGTATTAATATGTGAATTTGTTTTCTAAAAATAAAAGAAGATGAAAAACGGAACAAAAATTGAATTTCATAGCTTTAAGATTAGAGAATGTACTTGTTATAAATTTAAAAAAAAAAAAAAAAGATTATAAAAATGTGTTGAGTTGTGAAGCCAAAATCAAGTGAAATGATGAAATGTAGAATTTGCAAATTTGCTACAAGTCTCGCTATAACAAAAATTTTTTGCAATGAAATTCAATAAGCAAATTTGCTATAGTGGACTCAAATTCATTATAGTGGATTTTTTGGCTATAGCAAAGAAAATTCGTTGGAGCAACTAAACTTTCTGGAAAACATGCTTTTAGTTTAGGATGAGTGTTTTAAACCCAAAGGACTTTGTGTTACATTAAAAGAGTTGTGGGACGCCCTAAACATTATATAAGGGTGTTAAAGTCCTAGAGAAAGTGAGAGGAGTGCTAGAGAGTCAGTAGCCACCAAAAAGAGAGTGGTGAACGAATTTGTGAGGCTTGAGAGATTCTTGTAATGTTCTTCGTCTTTATAGTGAAATTCCACGATAGCAAAGTGAATGTAGTTCTCATATGGAAAGTGAACCATTATAAATCTTTGTGCTTGTGGATTATTTTAATTTGTCATTTGTTCATTCAATTTATCGCTTTCTTAGGGATTAAGGCTAGTTAATTTGCATAAAAATTTCCTAACAACTAGTATTAGAGCTTGATTTAAGTGAGAGAGCATATCTAAAGAAGAAGGAGGATATGCACCTGTGATCCACGAGTTTGATGAATCAAATTTGACATTTTGGAAGATGCATATTAAGGATTACATATATGGTAGAAAATTGCATCAACCACCCCCATGACAGAATCCCCAAAAGATGACAGATGAAGATAGGGAACTCCTCGATAGACTAGTCTTAGGAGCAATTTAGTTGACATTTCCAAGAATGTGGTGCATAACATGGCAAAGCATGCAACCATGTTAGGGTAGATGTAGATGGTGTCTAACATGTAGGAAGCCTTCTACAAATAACAAGGTACCTCTTATGAAAATATTATTTACTCTAAGAAGGTGCTTTAGTAGTTTAACATCTAAATGATTTTAATATGATTATTAATCAACTGTTGTATGTTAAAATTGACTTTGATGATGAAGTTTGTGTCTTAATTCTTACGACCTTTTTACCAAATAGTTGGGAGTCCATAAGAATAGCATTCAGTAATTTAATAAGTAGTGCGAAATTAAAACTTACTGATGTTAGGGATAAAATTCTTCACGAGGAGATTCGCGAGACATATTCGGGTGAGATGACACCAAATGCCTTAAATGTTGAAACAAAAGGTAGGGGCTATAATATAAACTGCAACCGAGTTAAAGTTAGAGCAAAGTTAAGGAATGGAAGAAGTAAGTCAAGATTTGGTAAAAAAATGTAATGCTAGAATTGTCGCAAGATGGGCCACATAAGAAGGAATGGCAAGCACAGTAGAAAAAGGACACCTCCAATGTTGTGATTGTAAAGGTACAAAATGCTTTGCTTTTATTTGTTGATAGTTCTATTGACTCTAGGGTTTTAAACTTAGAAGTTTCATTTCATACCACAACACACCGTGAAGTTCTAGAGAATTATGTAGTTGGAAATCATGGAAATGTGTATCTTGTAGATTAGAACTTTGGATATTATTGGTATGGGTGATGTTAGGTTGGTGATGTTAGGTTGATGATGTCAAACGAGTCTATGTGAAAAATCTAGAAAATAAGGCATGTACCAAGAGTGATACATTATTTGATCTCAATAGGACAACTTGATGATTAGGGGCATAATGTGTTCTTAACAAGTAAAGCATAAAGAAGTTACTAAGGGAGCCATGTCGTTACTTGTGGAAATAAAATTGGAACTTTATATAGGTCTTCTAGTATTAGAGATATAATTGCAGTTGTAGTTACAAATGTCAATGCTAACTCAAATTTATGATATTGTTGACTTGGGCATATGGGCATGAAAGGAATAAAAGAGCTTCAATCAAAGGTGAACCTACAAAAGTTGAAGTCAATTGATAACAATTTGTGTGAAAGTTGTATCTTTGGCAAACAAAACAAGGTAAGTCTTTCCCAAGTTTGAAGGGAACAAAAACAAAGAAGTAAGATAAGTCTTTCCAAAGTTTGATGGGAACCAAAAGCAAAGAAGGTAGAGTTGGTTCATACCGATATATGTGTGGGGCTCCGCATATGTCTTATCCCCTTCGAGGCTCAAATTACTATATGACATTAATGGATGATGCAAGCAAAAAGGTATGATTATTTTTTGAAGAACAAATTTGATGTTTTTGATGCTCCCAAAAAGTAGTAAGTCATGGTTGAGAATGAGACAAAATTAAGGGTAAAGTGTTTGCGTTATGATAACAAGAAAAGGTTGGAGCAATAAAAAGATAAACTATTATTTTTAAAGTGTTTTGCTGTGTAGCCTATGTTCACATTTAATTTCACTCTTAGAACAAAATTTGATTCGAAGTCTAAATATCATATTTTCATTGGTTATAGTTACATCGAGTTTGTTTATCATTTTTGGGATAAACAAAACCAAAAGATTATAAAGAGTAGAGACGTCATTTTCAATGAAGATGTCATGTACAATGATAAACTAAATATGAAGTTAGAAAACACACACACTGAAGTTAAGAAGCAAGAGGTATTTCATTTGAAAAACTTTAAATGACATGCAAGACAATGGCCAAGAAAATTAAGAAAAAATAGCTTTAGAAGTTGAAGCACAAACTTTCGAGTTTAAACTAGGGAGATCTTTCAAGACTATTAGACCACTATAAAACTATTCTCTTTCATTGCACCATATTTTGTTGATTGATGGTGGTGACCCAGAATGTTATGAGAAAACATTGCAATTGATGACTCAATTAAGTTGGAGCTAGCCATGATGATGAGATGGATTCGCTGTTATTGAATTAAACTTGACAATTGATTGAGCTACCACAAGGGAAGAAGACATAGCTAAAAATATGGGTTTACATAGTGAAAAAAGAGCATGATAACAAGAAGCGATATAAAATGAAGCTAATTGTAAAAGGGTTTCAATAAAAAAAGGCCATTGGCTACACAAAAATATTTCTTTTCAACTGTCAAGTTAACCACAATACTTGCATTAATGGCAAAAGAAGACTTACATTTTGAGCAAGGTTATGAAAACTGACTTGACCCATGACCCGATCAAGCGACCAGGTCTTGGGTTGATTGGTTTGATCGATTGGTCGAACCGATGACATTAGCAATAAAAATGTTTTTGAAAAATTACAAATTAGTTCCCAAAATTTTTATATTATATTACAAAAATATCCTTAAAATTTTTAAATTGGTCCTTAAAATTTTAATATATTTCCAAATGCCTCAAAACAATTACTTAATCCCAAATGTTTTGAAATCTTGCAAAAACACCCTTAAAAAATTATAAAGTAGTCCCTGCATGTTTAAAATCTAGTAGAAACCCCCTAAAATAGTATTATAACCTGAACTGGACAGGAGAAGTTGTCGGGTCTTGGTCGAACCAGTTCGATCCGGTTTTCAGAACCTTGATTTTGAGTAGTTAGATGTGAAGAGAGTTTTTTTCTTCATGGTAACTTAGATGAAGAAATCATTATATAATAAGCATAATGTTTCAAAATACAAGGAAATGAGATAATGATATGCAAACTTCTTAATAGTCTATATGCCTTATAACAAGCTACAAGACAACGGTATAAGAAGTT